TCTGTTTCCGCAGAGTGATGGTTGTAAAACAGTTGAGGGTTAACAAATTCAGTATACATGTATATTATAAACTGTTCAAGATCATAATTATTATTGTCAAAGACAAACAGCAGAGTCAATCTTCATTTTCAGACTTTAGTTTACCTTTGTGAGGAACCCATACAAAGACAATTTCTAGTGATCTGGATATCTTCCTAAAATAGGACTCAAACTCTCAAACAATGAGACATTATTTTTAAAGGGGACCTTATCCCTAAGTCTATTATACCCTGTTTTGATATTTCAAATATTATTTAGATCTGACCATCCTAAAATTTGAAGGTTTCAATATCAAAAATATACAAAAACTGTGCAGCGAAAAATATTAAGTCTGGTTTAAACTTTAAAGCCTGCACAAGATATGCATAAATTTTATAACCACTTAATCATTGGAACCATAATAATAATTACCTATATACATTTATCATGATATTTAACTCACAATAAAATCTCCTTATAATTAAATTTTACGGCCCTAAAAATGATTAAATATATAAATTTGCAGACAATGTTTCACCATAAGATTACAGTGGGATTGCATTTACTGGTAGCCAAATATAAACATATTTTAATTATGTGTAGGCGACGTCTAACATCAAGTTAAATGTCAAATAAATGTTAATGTCTTTGTTGTTCAATTTTTCACCCATTTTTTTTTGTTGTGTTCTGACGCTATTGTGGTATTGTTTTTTATTGTTTTTTTTTTTAATTCTAAACTAATTTTCTAATTTACTATTGATGAAAAGATTTTAATTAAAGTTTTTCAATTATCTGAAATATTATCTGAAATATTAGTTATTCATAAATTCCAGATCCATAAATTGTCATTTGAAAATTTTTTCAAGGACTGGCCATGGAATGGACATTTAAGAAGGGAGTCATATAGGTGTACAGGTGGTCATTACTATCAAGGGGCATGGTGGCCTACTGGTTCCAAATACGACACCTGAGTGCCATCTAATCAGGGTCTGCCCTGTTTGCTACTTATTTTGTAAATTTCCTCTCAAAATAATAAACACTTATGTCCAGATTGTTAGATCATTTAGATGGATAAGTCCATTTAAGATATTAGTGTAGTCAGGTTTAAACCTTTAAACAAACCGTAACCTTAGTGCAGTAACAGGTTAAGTCCTTTTAAATTTTATAGGAGTTAGCCAGTTATAGCACTATAAGGTGACTAAACTGTCCACGAAAAAATTAATTTATAAAATTTCTCCTTAATTTTCAAATACCAACACAGGCATTAAATAGAACATATATATCAATGATAAAGTGTTTATCATGTCGGTTAAATGCATTTAAATTAAATATGCACCGAATAACTTGAAACATATCTTATAATACTGCATTTCCTCAGCGTTAAAATATGCCGTCTCTTGTCTCTTTAGAGCATGAAATAAATTATGCATGTTTCACTGCTTTATTAACTTACGTCTTAGTAACCAAGTTATTTCAAGATTTCCTTATATCTCTACCGGAATAGTTTCCACTCGTTAGATTGTCAAATCATTTAACAAAACTATTTTAAAGTGATACAAACTATACTATAGGAAATTGAAAAATAGATTTAACTTCATTTTCATTTTTTTTTTTTTTATTTTATTTTCAGAAACAAGTAATGTCAAAGTTAGTCACCTTCTGATACTGCAAACTGAAATATACATGCATGGGGATTTTCATAAATTTTGTTAGAAATTGAACATTCCATATATTTCCCTTTTTTTGTTAACCACCATGCCCCCCCCCCACCTCTTTTATAATAAATTATAAATGACACTTAAGAGGTTTTCCCAAAAATGCTTACAACCCATTAATTTCATAACAATTTCCCATCCTGAAAAGGAAAACGCCTCCAAAATATTTTTTTTTATCTTCCCCCTTCTTGTAATAATTTTATATGCTCATTTACTGATACTGAAAACTGTTAAAAATCTTATCTTCCGATAGGACGGAAAGAAGTAAACTTAACGATACTTCCTCTTCCAAATAAAAAATCTTAAATTAATAACAGTTTCTTAAGTAGTTGGGTGTTTTTTTTAGTTTTTTTTGGGGTAATTTTTAATTGAGATTTTTTAGTCAATATTGTATCACATTCCCAGTTAAAAAAAGTTCTTTGCCCCGATTTTAAAGGGCAAATGGACTTGAAAAAGGTTTTTCCAAAAGTCGGTTGTTAACGAAAGATGTTCGAGACTTTCTTTAAGGTGACCGCCCTTCATGTAATTACCAATTCTAAGTGAAAAACATTGCTAAAATTCTCAATTATGAGGGTATAGGTTTGTTATGAAAAGACAGGGTAGGGTTGGTGGGGCACTGGGGGGTGGGGGTTTGGGAAACATCTGAGGACTGCCCAAAATACATTCAACATTTCTTTAATACGAGAAAACTTTCAAATCATGACTAAACATAGAATATTTAATCAATCCTCTGTATTAATAAGTTTTTGTATTAATATCGCCTAAAAAAATCAAATTATGGTAAATCATATTTTCCATGTTCCATGCCGTAACAAATTAAACGAGACTGAAGCGATTTATTTGTTTTACGAAATGGGATTGGTATAGCCAGCGGCTTGACGCGTCCATTTGTATTCTCCATCGGAATCAATACAATCTCAGAAAATAATGCAATTCGAGAATTACTCTATCTAATAACAATGTTAAAAGTTCATGTAAGATCACTCCACTGGTGGACAATTAAGGTGAACGCAAGTCGTGAAAAATACATTGTTATATCTCTTTATCATTTTTATCTCCCAGTTGTTTTGTTTGTTTTTCGGTGTATTTTTTTTGCCCTTAAAAATAATTCCATTTCATTCTGTGTAATAATTAAAGTTATAGTCATACTAGAATAAAATACTATACACCTTTGCCTTTGTGCAGTAACAGCTTAACTCCTTATGTAATTTTAAACGAGTTATTCCATTACTGCACTAAGGTGACAACATGTGAATGATGTTCCATAGTCAAAGCAGCAACCGTTTAGATTTCTGCTTCTTTTAAATGAAAATTTAATAAGCCATCTTAATTTGTAAACATATTGTCAGGTGTATAATCAAACTGATAAAAACCTAGCCTTAAGCACATACTTTTTGCAAGCATGCAGAGGTAGCTCTGTTACACTGTTGATAACAGGGAAGAAAATAATATGGTGATAAAAAAAAGTCAACTCTCTCCTATTTTGCATGAATTCACCTTTAAATAAGTAACTTTGAAAGTAGATATTATTATATATATATATAAAAAATTTCTCAGTTTTTTTAAATTTGTTTGCCTGGAATCTGAAACATCTCTTAAAACTTAAAATAGATTAACAAAAGACATCATTTATCTTCATGTCACTTAGATGTTGGCATAAAAAGAAACAACATTGCCACTTTTCTTTCATCCACACTCTAGCCTGCAAGCGGCCACTGCTTCTGACCCATGCAACCAGTGCAGGCCCAGATCAGGTCACACATCCATGCTGTCTGATCAGGATCAGTGCTGTTTACTATTCAGCCAATACATCATATTTCAAAAAAAAAAAATCCCTAAGATTAAGAACAGTTTTGTCCAGTTTGAAAGATGGACAAGTCTCTTTGAGATATTTAACAGGGTTAAAGGCAAACAATTTTATGGAGCCAGTCAAAAAATATCATGTCCTGGCCAAAGACAGATTCCATGGCCTAAAACAGAATTTCTACTTTCCTTAGACTTCATGGCCTACCAAAAATACCAGAATTATTCATCTTTATATAAACATATTCAGAAATTTTGATTTCATGCCAATTGCTAAACAAAGTTTATCAATAATTTTGACATTTCTAAATTAAAATAATTTACAATGATAAATTCTCCCAATATCAGTCAAATGTCACTTAATGTTATCCAAATAATGTAAAGAAATGGTTATCAGGTACAAGCACCTGTTAAAGTAATATAAAAATATTCCTGTTTCATGTTTAAGTCTATGCCTTTCCTTTTTGGGGAAAATTTTAATATATTTAGTAAAGATCAGACAGCACAGATGTGACGAGTGCTTATGTGTAGACTAGTAACACGGTAGATTTAGAAGCAGGTTACAAATATGGTAAAATTTAGCAGAAAATAATATAGGGTGTACGTTTGACCCTTGAAATGACTCTCTGACCCTTCAAATTTCCAAAAGGCCTGATTTGACCCTCAGGATTTTAACTGGAGGGTCAAATTTTGTTAAAATCATGGGGATTTGGCCTTATAGTTGGTAAAACTTGAGTCAAAATGACCCCCAGGATTTCATTGCTAGTGAACACCCTGTCAGACAGGGATTCTAGGTTAGAAGGAATAGACTTTAAGCTGATTGGCCTCCCATTATAGCCAGTTACACATAAATGTTTAAAGCCTGTTCAAGAAACCTTTGTGCAAAATTATTCAACTTTATTTTGATTATAAAGGCTAAAACATTGCATACTTGTGGTTAATGAACAATGTATCATTTAAATAGTTTGTCAGGATTTTATCTCGTTTTACAGTGCATTTTTCCGACTTTTTTCACAGATAGGGAAAGATTTACACTTATAGAGTGGCATATATTTTTGACTTTATTGAGAGATTTATACTTGGGGATAACCATAAAGTAGTATTATTTTGCAAAAAGGGAAAGAAAAAAACATTAAGGAGAAAACTGCACAATTTTAATGAATTTTTGGAAAGGAAGAGCTCCAGACCCATACATGTTTATTACAGAAAGTATAAGGAGTTTTGTTTGAACTTAACTTTTGGCTATAAGCTATTGAATAATCTATTTAGTTTTTTTTGTGCTTTACTCATTAAAAATTGTTCTAATGTAATGAATCAAACAATGTCTTTGATGTCTTTGTTTACCAATGAGATTTAGTAGGTTCTTCTTCAATCAGAGCCATTGAGTTAATTACATATTCAAGAACCTCTTGCATAGAGTATAAATAAAAATAAATATTAAAATACTTCATCTTAAGTACTTACTCTTTTACTATCTCGGATGCTGGCAAATTTGCAGGTGACTTAGACAAGGTTTTCCGTCTCTTCGTGTCATCATCTCTTGTGGTATTTAGTTTGCGTTTCTTTTTCTCGTGCGGAGATTGACTGAAAGACGAATGATTTGATGTAGATAATGAATCGTGCACGGACTCCACGTGCTTAGAGTCTTCTATCTCACTAGCACTTCCGTCACTATCCGAATCACTTAAATCATCAGATAAAGATTCACTTTTTACCGGTTCTCGGACCGGTAGAGACTCAAAACTCGGAACATGGCTTTTAGGTATATCCTTTTTACTAGTCAAATTCACATTTGATATCCTTTCTTTTTCTGGCACATACTTTTTATCACTTAAATCAATATCAGGTACACTATTTGCACTTATTTTTGAGGCAGTCGACTTAGATAGTTTATCCTTAACAGTGTCATTGTGCACTTTCTTGGATCTGATATCACTTGAAGAGTATTTGGCACTTGTCAGATTTTTACGGTGCTTACCACTTAAATGCTCCTTAGGCTTCAGGAAATATGGGCTATGCCTATCTACACATAGGACTTTGTCTAACAAATTTAGATCTATTTTTACTAACACTGGCGGTTTTTCTCTTGCACAGGATATATTTCCAGTAAGGGAATTTGGGGTTTTTGTAGACACGTTGAGACCGGCCCGTATTAAGTCCTGTTCCGTAGGGTTAATCTTATTTATATTAGTAACACTCCGAATAGGTGACAATGGCTTCTCGCCAGAAAATGTGTCTAGCATATCGTCTATGGAATCCGTAAAACTACGTGCATACATCCGCGAAGCTGCTTTCTTATTATCACAGTCTTTACTAGGTACATTTGCCATTGCAATTTCTCTTTTTAACTTCACTGAATCTTTTTCTTTGAGTAATTTATCTCTTTTAGTCTCTTTCCGTTTAACTGTACCAAGATTTGCTGAACACTTATCTAATGGCGTATATTTTTGACTTAATTGCGAGTTCAGTGGAAGAGGTTTTTGTGGTGAACTTAAAGCACTATCAGAAGACATTTTCTCAACGTCTATATCGGAATCGGAATCAGAAGTGTCTATAATAGGGACCGACACTATATTTTGCTTCTTTTTCCGAGACCGTCTTCCTTTTGTTTCAGGACCATCGGTGACCGATTTAGAAGGCAAACTATTGTCTTTATGTTTTCCCCGATCAGCAGTTTTACTGCGACTGGGCACCTCGTTAGCACTCAATGATGATGGAAAACCTTTCTCAGCTGCTTTAGGGGTATACTGCATTGGCGATATAATCGCTGGTAATGGAGACTTTATGGGCGGGGCAAGTGGAGATTTGATAGGAGACAGGATGTGTTTAGATTCTATCGGAGCAGGTGGCGAGAACTCGTCGGCTGACATTGGCTTTGATAACAGATCCTGATCGACCGATGGCGGATTCTCGTCCGATACGTGGTCAGCCCCTCTTTTCATCTCTGTGTCCTCTTCAAAATGATCAGATTTATTCGAGGCTGGTGCGTCACAGGATGGGGGCTTCGATCCCATATTAATAGACTGGGGTTGCTGCAGAAATGCCCCAAGGTTCCATTTTTTGGACTATAAATAGACACATAAAAATGTCATTATGTATACAAAACAAATTATCATTAACACATAAATTATGGTTTCTTTGATATCTACATTTGGAGCTAACTTACAAACAAGTGTAATAAATAAAATTCATTGCTTACATATTTAAATTTTTATTTTTTCTGATTCTTACTAAATATCAATGTATAACAGAAACAAAATTTTGTCTGCATCAGAATCAGCCAATATATGTCAATTTTCTAAGAAATCAGAATTTGCTGCTCTGAACTTCATATCTTTTTTACCCTAAAGAAATTCAACTAAGCAAAAGCACAAATTAAGGTAAAAGAAATGAGATATTCTAGATCTAGACATATAAAATTTCAGTTGCACTTAGTTGACACAGAATCGATTTAGTTGGCATTTGATCTAGTCTAGACCTAAGAATGGAGATATAAACTCTAGACAGGTTATTATCTTCATACTGTCTCATCAAAGATTGAAAGATTTTCAGTAAAGGAACTGTGCAATTTTACAACATTTTCTGTGAAACTAAAACATTTCACTGTGTTTTCTCAAAAGAGAATGCCGAGCTCTTTAAATTCTTTTTTGAGACATCAAGAGCATTAAGTTTCAAAACCTACAATCAGTTATTGAGTACTGCAGCATACAAATTATCTTCTGCATATACATAAATCATGCATTTAGAATTGTAAGTCAATCAGAAAATGTACTCAAGCTGTCAAGTTTTAAATGTTGTATGTATGATCGAAACACAATTCCTGAACTGCCTTAGACATCTAGCCTTACATAATGATCAATCGTTTTAGCTTTGATTTTTGAAATGTCCATAGATGAATCAACAGATTTTCTGTTCTTAAAATGCACCAACAGTATGCACTAATCACCACTTGCAGTTTTCATCTTAGTCATCCAATAGGTTGAGTGATATAGTGTCTGAATTAAATAGCCATTCACTTTCAAATCTTTTTACTTCACTTGCAAATCTTTATATAGATTTAACACAAAGATAAAACCTTTCTTTTTCAACAGACATTCATTACTTTTGTAAAAACTGAAATATCATCTTTTCACAAGGACTTTGACTTTTTCGGAGAAAAATAAAAACGTACCCCAGATGAAGGCGAGGTTTCCATATTATCTGGATTATTGGGAGTTCCCTGTGGCGTGGCATGATGATTCTCGTCATCAGAGACATCTTTATCCGACTCACTGTCCGAGCTGTTATCACTGTCGCTCTCCGAGCCACTACTCGAGCTCTCACTACTGGAACATGACTGACCCATTCTGTAATAACAAAATATCAACATACGTTAGTCTTTACCTATTAACGAACCAAATTTTGTCACCTTAGTGCAATTATAAACTAGTTAACTTGTATAAAACTCCGAATGACTTAAGTGAACTGTCGTCTGAAGTTTGCTTCGATAGTTTTAAAGACATTTTTCTTCTAATACTTTTAACATTGAGTCAGCAGGATTCTGATTCAAACAAACAGCCTAATACCTTTATTGGTTGACTATTGGCAAGCCATAATATTTGCTAGTAGAGTTCATTGATGTTAATTATATATACCATCTGACTGTTAATCAAGGCAAAGAAGTTTAAACAGTGAATGACATCATATTGTTTTGTATCCCTTTTGTTTATAGTTGTTATTGGTTATACTGTCAATAACAATTACTTAAAGCACTTGGGGTTTTTTACCCACAGACTTTCTTTTTTACAGATAGGACTTGTGTTAATGTTAGCTTTGAAAATAAAGGTCACAAAAGTTATATAATCCTTCTTTCATCTTATATCTGATACAAATATTCTTCACTAATTATGTGGAAAGCTTCAATGCATGAACTTAGTGCAAAGATAATTGCCCGGCTGTGTATTTTCCAAGGTATTCAAGAAAAATCATGGAAAAAACCATGGAAGTCCAAGCTTTAATGGTAGTTTTACTAGGAAACCTTGGACAATGTTGCAATTGTCCAAAGTGAAAGGTTTTTTTTCTAACTTTTCCTTGGACATATTCCATGGTTGTCTGAAAAATTCCTAGGAATCGCTTGGACAATACCTGGGAAAGTAAAACATAGTTTTTTTCAAGCTGGGAAAATGAACACATTCAGACACTTAGACAATTTTTAGCTTGGATTTTTTTTCACTTGGAAAGAAACACTTAGAAAATTTTCAGCTTGGACAAAGGACTTAGGCAATTTTTCTTTCATTTTTTCAATCATCCTAATGATAATGAATAATGAATTATTTACATTTATTGTCATTATGATGTGCTAGATGGAAAAGAATATTTAATCCTTTTCAGAAGATATACATGTAAATAGACATTTTTAAGAAATATAATCATTTATTGATTTTTGTATTTAATTATCAAATATAAAGTTATTAAAAACATCAAATATATACATGTACATGCATACAATCTACTAAATTCATTGCATTACAGAGATGAATGATGTTGAGTATAATACATAGTACATTTAATTTTTTTTATCAAAACAGTATGGAAAATGTTCTGTTGGTTTCTAAGTTTCTAGATGCATGAGTATCTTCCCTGTAGTTTGTATCTTTAGACTTTTTTTATTTCTTGACAGCATGTAAGCAACAGTTAAATAATTTTAGAATGCTATTAAACTTTGATATAAGAGTATATGTTTTTAGGCCATATAAAATAGTACATTCTCTGAATATTTGTAGACATACATTTAGGTTACACTTTACTCTGCCACTTAGTTTATGTGCACAATAAACACATAAATTATATAATAATTATTGCCCATTATATATATATGGCTTTATCTGCAAAATTTGTTAAATATAATAACCAGCTTGCCTAGTCAGGATAAATAAATACTAATATAACACACAGGTCAGATAAGACTAATGACTACCATCTGCCCTTCCCTCTATCTTTGCATGACTAATCTGACCTCATGGGGCATTCTGGGATGCTGACCAGACTATTCCATGTGATTATTAAGGGAATCTGAGCATGATACATTTCTAAAAAATCAGTTTAGAAGGACATTGAAACATTGATTTTTTACACACTTATTATTATTTTCAAATTCTACATTTATTTATCATTTGATATGTTTATACATTCAATAAATGTAAAAATACAATGATGGGTGTTTTGATTTTTTTTTTTGATAATCCCTGTTTCACATTATGATAGACTTGTCCAGACTGAAACCGTTGCAAAATTTGAAATCTCAGACATTCAGTGCTAACCATAAAGGATCTAAGTGGTATTCCAGATTATTTTGGAGATATCATCTTGTTTTTGAATATTGTGTACATTATTGTGGAATTTTCAAAGAAAACATTTATCTAAATGTGACAAGATTGTGGAATTGTTTGGTTGTTGTAATTGAACTAAGAATGACCTGAGGCAGGAAGTTATGCAAGAATCATAGTAAACAGTTTCAGGTAAATAACTTTTAGATACATTTATGCAGAAAAATGGTTATTTTAAACAATCAAAATATATTATGGCAGCAAGCAAAAATGTTTCTATAATACAACAATCTATAAGGTTGATAAAATTATGCTGTGAATAATTATTTGATAATTAGATCTAGATTTATTAATTATTTCTATATTGAATCAGTTATTTGTTTAATTTACTTACTGAAATTCCAAGTTAGTATGCTCAACTTAAATTTTGAAGATAAAAAGTTTTAATGGAAAATGAAGATTAAGGAGAATTCAATGTATTTAATGTTAAAATAGACTAGATATACTGAAACTTTGCTTACTTAAATTATATTATTCCAGGAACAGCTGTAAGGATATGTAAAGTACAGTGATGACCTCTCAAAAGCCAGCAAGCTCCTGTTCAGAAAACTATATAGTGTTGAAGAATACAGGGGCAGGTGTTTTACTGGCAACAGTACCAACACTAAAACCGAAATCAAGGCCAGCATTGGAGGACACAATATTACTGAAAGTCCTTCATGGTTTGTATAATTTTATTTCCTAGAATTGTAATCAAATTTGAACATATTAATCTTTTTTTGCAGTATTTTACAGTTTTACACAGCATTAAGTTGCAACTAATGTACTTAAACTCTAATGTCCTTATACATAGTTATTCAAAGTAAGTAAAATCTGTATTAATTAGGAAGTCTTATATATATCTACTGAGTGCTTATTCCCTTGATAATGATAATAGTGCAAGGGAAATATAAAATTATGTTGTCGTTTAAAATATATTGTTTAAGACTTGCATTCCTCATTTGTTACTACATGTATAATTAAGTGTTTTGAATGTAGTTTTTAATGACATTTTAATATTTTTATTTCAGAGTTGATCAAGAGAAAATGGCCATATGTGACTTTTGAAGCTGTCCAGAAATTGACATTGACATTGATGTTACCAAGCGGAATAAATATTGTTTTAATATTTATAATATTTTATGTTTTGTATTCTACCAGTGTAACATATTGTGTTTAAAAATGATGGAGAGCGAGCTCATCAATATGTCAGGGATTTAAAGGCAACTAGTTATAAGAATGATGAAAATTCCATATCTCAAAGGGGCTATTGTAAGAAAGCACAGAAATTACAAGCATCAAAGATACAGCGTCTATGGCTTTGCAAGATCATGAAGATGTCCTAGTATTTTCCCAGGTTTTCCAAGGTTTTTTTCACTTGAAGAACCTTGGACAATTCCACGGAAATAACATTGGACTTCCATGGAAATGTCCAAGCTTTCCGAGGATGTCTATGTAAATGTCCAAGCTTTCCAAGGATGTCCAATGAAAAAACCTTGGTCCCAATACTCCAAGGTTTCCAAGGTTTATGGCATATGTTCATGGAAACCTTGTACAAGCTCCAAGGTTTCCAAGCATTTGTCCAAGCATTTGTCCTAGGAAAGACCCTGCCATTTTTGTTCTTAATTTACTCTTATTGTATTGAAAAAGTATACCCAATACTCCAAGGTTTTTTCCATGAAAAATTCCCTGATATTGTCCAAGGAAACCTTGGAAATTGTACAGCCGGGTGTTAAGGTAGATCTTCTAGGTTATTCCCTGAAGGGACAAAATTTAATGCAGATGTTAATTAAAATTAACAGTAACAAAATTCTCCTTTGCTTGTTCAACTCTCGAGTTGCACAGACAATTGTTAAAGACAACAGGGGAGTCTAGCCTTAAAGGCATATGCCTTTGAACCCAGGACTCATGGGTTCAAGCCATAGTCAGGGGTCATCACTATAATTACTCACATGGCAATCAACAGTACTGGTTAAGACAGAACAGACAAAAGACCAGTTCAAATATTAAAGCTGAATTTATGCATTAATCACAATTGCACCAAAACTGATATTTTAAACTAACAACTTTTTTCAAGGCCACAGTTGCACTTAAATGCATTATTTTCTGCCCCAGGAAACACAAGCATGGGGTGTACGTGGCCAAGTGTTTAAGGTTGTTGACTTCAAACCACTTGCCTCCCACCACTGTAGGTTCAAGCAGCCAGAATGCTATGCAGCCAGCTTACAGAACGTTGGTGGTTCTACTCACGTAAGACACAAGCAATTTGGTCAAGCTTAGTTGGGATGACAGTCTATAATAAACTCCGATATTCAGAAAATACCAATCATCAAATATAGCCTCAAAGGATTATACAAATGTTCAACTTTTCATGGGCAGGGCTATTAACCTAAAACTCGTCTATTAATTACAACTTAGCAAACTACATTAGAGATAGGTTCATTAGGTGCATTCATCTGCAGTAATAAATATACCAAGCAAAAAGTGCATAAATCAAAGTTCTTCATCAATTTTAATCACAGCTTTTAAATGTCAAAATGGGCATATATCATTAACAATCGATCAAACACTATCATTTGAATAGATCACATTCATTTAATAGTAAATATCTCCTAAAAAAAAAAAAAAAGAAGTGCCAAGAAAAAAAGCAATTGGCCACAAATTCTTCATTACAAATTCTTCATAACAAATGAGTTTATTTGTGACAGTTTTAATTTCCGTGTTACATTTAAATAAACCAGAAATAGTTTTATACCTATGCAGGCTACTTGTAACTTTCCATAAAAAATTTCTAAATGGGTTTATTTAACAATAAACATCTTAAAAATTCCATTTATTAATGGCAGTTGGAAGTAGGGCATTTATAATATACATTTTATTACAACCATATAAGAACATAAAAATCACTGATAAATGTATGGCAGTCTGGTTCACCTAGTGAAAAAAAATAATTTTGGAGAGTACTGTAATGGAGGATCAGTTTTCATGATGATAAAAGTTTT